GGGAGAGGTCTCATTTTAATCAGAAATGTGCGGGCTACAATCATGCCTCATTAAGAACGGTTCGGGTTATTTTTTGGGGTTTCTGAAAAACTCGTTTTCTAGAAAACCAGGTCTTCGAAGGGCTATGAGGAAGCCGCATAGTCGTATTCGTAATCAGCATGGTCGATAACTTATAACCCATTAGATTCCGTGCAAAAAGCGTTTAATCACTTCGTGGGGTTCCCTCGTTAGAAATATTAAAAACTAAACAACGAATGGTTCTTGATCAGTTCCAGTCATAATTTTCTCAAAAATTTAAAGGCTAGAACACCATATAGTACCTATCGGCAAAAGATCATCAAAATCGGAGGGTACCAGCTAGGGACTTTCCCTCATAAGTGTAAAAAGGTACTTTTTCCATGTTGTTCGCTATCAATGGGCCATGAATGACCCATCGTATAGTTCAACATCAGTGCAACTTTGATTCGATTTAACCTTGAAATTAACATATTGTACAACTAATTGCTTTATTCTGCCACTTAGTTTGCCGTCTGCTTCCATAGATCAATGGAGATAGGTAAAGTATTAATCGAGTTAAAATGAAAACTTCATCAATCATTATGAAGGAAGCGAAATCAAGTGAAATGGAATATAATGAAGAAGAACTGAAACAGATGGTTTTAATGTTACAGCAGTACGAATTCGTTGAAGTTTATGATGTTAATAAGACTGAATGTCGAACATGGTCAAATTATCAAAAAAGAGAAATGATTCATTTTAATTAGATCAAAAATGTTTTTGTCAATAGCTCTATTAAAATAATTATGTCCACGTATTTTTTATACAGTAGTTATATGTTTTTTATTTCACGGATGAAATTTATTTATCAGATATTAGGAATGACATTCGTGTGTATAGATTAATTAGCTCTAAAAACAGACGTGTTCATAAGATAAAGAAAGAAAAGTTCTTCTGGAAAGTTAAGAATGACTCCAATCTACTCGTAAATAAACCTCCTGTACTTTAAAGAAGAAAATTGACGTTATTCCGTCACGGAAAGTAAGGTGCCGGTAATTTCAAAATTACAGCAAGAACTTCTTTTTTGCTTTTTTTTGACATGGCTGGATAGAGCTCATCGAGTTGCATTGGAGAAACACAATCCCGCATCTTAAGAAGTCATTTTTTGGTAAAAAGATTTAAATATACCCATTTTTTGAAAATAAGGAAATTTTTCATACATATTGTTTTTCTAAAATTCCAAATCTATTTTTTTCTGATTTTCTATCGAAAACTAAGTATAAAAAACTGAATTCCAAAATTTTAAAATTGAAATTGACCGTCAAATCCACGCAACACGAGTAGAATCTTAAAAACCCTACTGCCAAATTCGCAAACGTATCTAGTTTTTTCCGTTGAAAGACTAAGCATTAATTATTATTTTCTTCTAATTAGTATATCTGTAGGTAAACCTCATTGTGTTACGTTTGGTCAAAGTGTAAACCGCCTATATCAATTGTCTAACTGTAAAAATACGAATGAATTGGCCCATGGCAATATTTTATATGCATGAACAAAAAACCCACTATGTAAACTTCTAATTGGAGGACTTACACGTTGTAAACATCATTGTCTTAAGGGTACCACCTGGAAAACTTAGGAAGTCAATCGTCGATCGGGCTAAAATTCATACCTCAGATAGAATGTCGAAAAAGGAAATCTATGTATTTTTGATAAGAATTTTCTAACATGTTCTTCTATTAGTTTTCTGGAAAATTTTAGTTTCAATCTAGTCACATTATGACCTCTTGAAAAAGTTGTTCCGAGCGAGTTGGGAATTTTACCGCAAATACTTGAGACACCATCTTAGTTTGTAATCTTTTCTTTTAGAAAAATATACTTTCCTTCTCGAGATTTGCGAAAAATACTAAAAATTCTATATAAAAGTCATTTTTCGATTTTAAAATCCTTCTCACGTCGAAAGTTGTAAAAAAGGCTTAAAAAAATTTTAGAATGTGAGATAAAGTTTGAAGGATTTGTGGTAGAAATTTCAGCTTGGGCACTTGATCTTGTTTAATCAGCTCCTAGATCAGTTTTTGCGCTAAGCATCCGTGAGACACTTTCTATATTCACTTTTTGATGCTGAATCAGAAAAGAATAGTTTGGAGCGCGCCAAGTTCATCGCAGACGAGATATTAAATTTTTTTGAAAAAATGAAGCTGTTTTTTGGATATTTTACACCAGTCAAGTTTTCACAGTTTTTCGACCGTAAAGCATGACTTAAAAATATTAAAACATACGCTCAACGAGCTCTATCTAACCATGTATACCTTACATAGGAGTTACATTCATTTAAGTTTCCCTTTTTTGTAACAGCCTAGAGACATTCGTATTCAAATAAAAAACCTATTGATTGATTGATGTATGAAATAGCGAAAACTAGAATCTGTTCGAATTTTGCATTTTCGACACTTTCATATATATATATAGAAAAGCACATGGACGCGCAGTACTAAAAATAGAGTATATAGAATATAGAACTGAAAAAGACGATTTGGACGCAACTGAAATATAATTCATATTTTAATCAAGTATCTCAGTTAAAAAACCAGCATTTTTGCGAAAATATTTGTTTCTCAACTGAAATATATTTTATAGTTAGAACCGATTTTGTTGTTACTATTTTTTTGCATACATGCAATTACTTGAAAATAATTTAATACATGATAATATTTGCCTATGTAATAATGTAGCAATAATTCCTCAGATAGTCGATAGAGAAGTATGTTTTCTTCGATAAAAACAAAAAAAAAATTGTTATCGATATACGACACAGCAAGACAGATTTAGTTTTATTCTCCCATATGAAATAATATCACTCAGTTGCCACAGTAAATTGGACTTTTGAATAATCCAACGCATGTGTCAAAATTATATGTCACTTGAGAAACGAATATTTTCTTAGAAATATTAGTTTCTCAACAGAAATATTCTTAATTAATATACTTGATTAAAATATTGATTATATCTCAGCTGACACATTATGAAAAATACATAACATATTTTGATGAAATGACTTAGTTTATTCGTTTAGAAGGAAAGAAAGGAGAAGAATATATTTCTCAATGTACAATATATACTAATTCTCTCATTCCACTATTTTTTTTTCTTCTGTATTTATATAATTTGTCTTATTGTTGATATTAATATCCAACAGATAACATACGTAGAGTAGTACATGATGGTCTTTTTCTTTTTTTCTGTTGTTGTTCTTTTCTATATACACTATATATCACTATTTAGTACATTTTGATAACGTGAAATAGTGATAAGTCGAGGGGAAATAAGAACGAATAGCTGTTTCAATATGTGTTGCTATACCGTTGTGATATATCATGAAGATTGCAATATAATGATTTTTACATAAAACTCGTTTATCTTGACATTTGTATGACTGCAATACAAATTACATACGAAGGAACACTAAGTTTAAAAGGTACCGTTAGATCTTAAGAAGAACATTGTTAGAGTTGTTGGCTGTCTTGTGGCCGTTTTTTTTAAGTGATATTTCGTTGAGTTTGTCAAATAGCATACCGTCAGAAAATTAATAATCGTTCATTTGCTTAGTCGTACAGCACTATCAACACTTTTTCTGAAAGAGACAATGACAATATCTGTAGAAGATATCTGAACGGCGCTTTCATGCACCACATTTTATTTATTTAATGAAGTTTGAATAGCTGCTATTCTAAAGGGTAACAAAGGCTGTGAATTGAAACAAATAAAATACGACGATATTCCATATTTTATAACATCTCTAAACGTAGAGTACGAGTTATAATGTAGAATAAAGAGACAAAGATAAATATGTTTGATACGGATTGTAGAGTCGGAATTCCTAAGCTGTTAGTTGCTTGTTTGGCCTTGGAAATATTTACAGATGAAGTAGTGATCGTAGTGATAAAAGTAGTAGTGGATAAATAGGTATGTGAATGATTGGTTCCTGGTGGTTGTTGGTAGGGCAAACCACCGGTGTCGGTTTTTAAAATTGTCGATGGATCGTCATTTTCGCTTTGTTTTCGTTGACCTGGACTAAAAAATTACAAAAAAAATTTGATAGTCATTACCAAAACAATATTGAAACTTCACTTCCAAAGGTATCCAAAGAAAAATAAATTTTCCTGTAGACTGCGCTAATTTCAAAGAGAAGAACTTACAATCCTTCAATCCAAAAATCATATTCTCTCACAAACTACATTAACTTATAAAGATCGGCTTCATTTCCAAAAGTCATATGGGTAATAAATCAAAAAAAAACTTTTCACTCCGGAAATCAAACAAAATTGTGCACGAAGAAAAGGGTTCGAGAACGACCGAAGGAATACCATTACTTGGTTTTTATTGTAACTTATTATTTTTTTTTCTCTTTGATCACTTTTCCTTCGTGCACATTTTGGTTTCGGTAGAGGGCCGTATAAATACTTTTCAGATCGTTGATGTCCGGGACTTGGCACGTTCTTCCATGGATTTCGTTCATTAAACATTGCAAATGGCAAATAAATTCCTTTCCATGGTGCCCCTGCTTCGATGTATAATGTTAAATGATCTCCATCACTTTTTGTACATAGTAAGGGTTCACTACTTTTTTTGTTGTTACTATGGTGGTGGTTAATATCATTCCCATTATGATAATATTCAGACGTCCTAATCAACTTTTGATCAATTAGATCCAAAACATTGATCGAATTTATATAATTCGCTTTTAAGGGTTTACGATCAACACAGAATGTAAATGGCTCACGTTGTAAATTAATTATTGTTAGCGTCAAATTATTCATTGGCATTGTCCACAGCAAAGTACCATTGCATGGTTTTTGTATTTGTGCATAAGTCTGAAGTGCGTGACCTTCTTGCAGAGGAGAAACGGTAATACGACATTCATCGTAATATGTTCTAGCATTGTAGATTTGATTATGTATGGATGCCGAAAATATTTGTTCACACACAATAAATAAAAATAAAATTAAGATAGAAATGTTAATATTCATTGATGACGCCTTCTAGCTGTGATGTAAATTTAGTATTTGAGATGTTATGTTGTATAAGAGATTTATTTTTGTCAGATAGTTTTTTTTTGGCTGGCTACATATTTATATCCAAGGTCACAAATTATTGTTTATTTTTTGTATCATATTTCGTTCATTGAATAACTGAAAAAAAAAAAATTGGTATTTTTACTCTTTTTTTCTCTTTCTTTTCCAGGGTCATCTTCTAAGTGGATTGTCATTCATTTCATTCACGTCTCAAGAATGTCTGTTTACTACAGATAATAGGATAAACAAATGAAAATAATTAGTAGTAAAAAAAGCCCACCCTTTTCTGTTTGAAGAAACTGATAGAGTTATAATGCTTCATACATTCGATTAATTCATTTTTTGTCTTTCCAAATGATTCATTAAATTGTACACTATGCAGTTCTAATATCTATAAGGTGTAAAAATAAATACAGATATAGTATCGTCCCGAATACAGAGAGAAAACAGATAATAAAGCCATGTAAATAATAAAAGTCAAAGTAGCACGTCATGTTTTATTGTGAAAGATGATGATATCTGGTAAATTACAGAATAGAGAAATCACATAAGCGCACATTACTTTTTATTACTTGTTGATTTAGGAATAGATGTTTTGGAATTTGATTGAAAGATTAGGTTCATATTTATAAGATCATTGGGAACGACATAAGAATTAGATGGAGAATTCTTATGGATCGGTTTTTTATATTCAATAAGAACCTTTAACCACACCAAATTATCTTGGTCACCCTCTCGATGGATAGTGTCAATGTTTCTCCATTTTCTTATCCGTTTGCGATATGTTGATGGACTAACGAGGGAACATTTCTCAGGTGCCCACCTCCGATTTTAATCATCTTTTATGGATAGATAGAGTATAGTGAACTCCTTGTGCTCTTATTGCTTTCCCCAAAAGTTATAGCGCTTTTTTAGTTCTTCCAGGAAAAATATGCAAAAATTAAAGAATTTTTTGTAACTCAGTCAGAACACGTTACGGAGGAGGGCTGCAAG